ACGCTGTGGTGAAAACTGAAAACTGATCTCGAACTCTTGAAGCCGGTGCGCGATCTTCAGTGCCGGAACGAACAAACGTATATAATTTGAAAACTTATTCTTGATTTTAAAAATCAATCGCGAGCCAGTTAAATACTGCTTTGAAAATTAATCGCATTGAATCGGGGAAAAAAGATCAGCGAAACAAAGTGCAAAGTCTTCAAGTGTTACTGTACTAGGAAACATGGGGGATGAACAAGAAACGCCGTTAGATCCTTCGAAGAGATCACGGCAGGCGCGACAACGGCGGTTGAGGTCGCCGGAGACAAAAATCCATGCAGTTAATAGGGTTCACAACGGAGAATCCAAAGCTGCAGTGGCACGCAGCATCAACGTGCCCGAATCCACCCTTAGAGGGTGGTGCAAATGCGAAAAAAAATTACTATTGCAATTAAACAATATGAGAGTCTTTGCAACGACACTGCTGGGAACATCCTTGACAGGCTATGAAAAAATTTTAACGTCTAGTTTCGATAACAATAAAAATAGTGCAATGCGTGATTCATCGTCGAGATCGGCATTTACAACTTCCCAAGCGAAGTGAAGAATTTCATCAACTTCTGCAGTTACCGAGAGAGCTGATGAATTTGAAGTCGGACTGTCGCGGAAAAAAATAAAAACTCGAGAACACTTCTGCCAGTAACACGATGATAAGTAATATGCCATCAACATCGGCTGGGCAATCAATAGTCAATGACGCAAACATATATAATTCGTATAAAAGATAGTCTTCACCATCTACCGCCTCTAAATAAAGTAAAAGGAGTGGTATTTGATGCTGTGAATAATAATAACGATAATATGGATAACAAAACTGCAAGAAAAAATTATCCCGATACTTTGCCACCAGGATGCTCTGAAATGGTCAGTGCGATAAATTGTTAGAGTGGTTGCATCATAACGATTCTATTCCCGTAAGTACTATAAAACAAGTGGTCACATTCAACAAATTTCGATCCGTTTACAAGATTGGATTCTCCAAAAATTCAAAAAGAAACCGCAAAAAACTAATGGTGTAAGCTATATAACAAAATATCTAATATTTGTAAATATGTGTATATAATGTATATAAATAATGTATATATCTATTACGCGTTAGATACATAGAGATAAAAGTCTGGTAATAGTTACTAAATTTTGATGGCGCAATATTTAGTAAGTATTACTAAACATAATAATTAAGTGACTGATAATAATAATTACTATGTACATAGAAAAGTTTTTTTATTTTTATATGTATATTAATTGAACATATAAATAAAATTGTTTCAAAGTGTTCCAAAGTGTTCAATAATTATCATCTAGGTTAGATTCCATTGCAATTAAGTTAAAATTTTTCAGTACTGCCTTGTGTCCACAATCTTGCTTTAAAAGGCCGTAAGCTGTAAGTAATGATATATCACAGAACTTATGCTTTTAGGCAGTATGAATTGAGTTTCGCTTAAGTCTAACGATTAAAGCCTAAAAAAACTGCGCAAAAAGACAGAAATTATTGTCATTTAATCTCTTTTGACTTATGACTTAAGATCTCTTAAAGCAAGATTGTCGACCAAGACTATGTTTAAATGCATTATTTTTATTGTAACTGATACTTTCATGTTTTTTTCCGTTTTTGAAAATATTGCGTATTTGACAAATTGCATAGTGAACGCGATGTTCATGAAATTCCTTTTTTCCTATGTATATTTTTCTAATGCTTAGGCTAGTGTTACATTTAGATTTATTTAGAAATTTATTATTTCTAAATAAGAATTAAACATTCCAAATATATCAAATTAATATTTGTTGAATGATCGTTTATATAAAAAAATTATTTGGATTGCACGTGAGGATGTCGTTGAAAAACGAAGTATACAAAAAACAAAATCTCAAATCATTCCTTTCCAGGTAGTTTATTTACTTACCATAATGAAAGCTTTGGTTAGTGGATACTCTATGTTATCATTGATGAATTGTACACATCCACGCCATGTATATAATTCCGAATACGGCAGGGTACTTCGTTCGATATTTGTAGATAAGACAAATTTCTATGGAAAGTAGAAAAAGATTTATTCTAATAACGTTTCTCGTCGCGGCATATATTTCTTGCGATTCTGTTTTATATTAAGTATTCTTACCACGTTAATGATGTAAATTAGATCAAAACAACAAAAAAATTTCTTGTATTTGAATGATAATTGATTACGATAATTAATGTATATATTTTATTTCTTATCTTTTAATTTTTGTAAAAATGAGTTTTATCTTTGTATGAAACCCAAATTTAAAAAAAGTATTATATTCTTAAATGTACATTAACTGCGCGAGGGAGAGGATGGAGGGGCCGCTACTTCAAGTCTCTTTTCTACATTCATAAAATTATTTGCTCAAATGTATCATATCAGAATAATCATTCGATCAGAATAATCATTCGATCAGAATAATCACGTACTATCGAAATATGACAAAATCTGATTTATTTGCTAACTGTAAAGTACGGAAAACAATGAGATTGTCGAGCACGAGCGCACGGTTCGTCACGGCAAATCCGCACTCAGTGCTACTTGTATCACTCGTAGAATGTCGCAGGAATTATTTGCTCGTTTTGAATCGAAACATGCTTTACAGTTAACAAATAAATCGGACTTTGGCACGTTTTGATAGTAGACAGTCCCAGAACTATTTTTTTTTTTTTTTCGGAAACATTCGAGCAAATAATTCCTGGACGATGGAAAGTCAACTCGAAGTTGTCGCGAAGCGTCCTTTATTAACTCATTATTTTTCACACTTTAGAATTAGCAAATAAATCGAACTTTGGTACATTTCAATTGTAGAAAGTCCCAGGATTACTGTGCCATCAAAAACTTGCAAATAATTCCTGCGACATTCTACGAGCGATGCAAGTAGCACTAAATACGCAGCGCGGATTGGCCGTGCGCTCGTGCCACAGACGTTCTCACTGATTTCTTTATTCATTGGGGAGGGGGGGGTCCCCAGTTTAATAGGGATGTAAACGTAGCCAGTATATAATACATATAATCATCCATGGTTTCTCTTTGATTGATTATTTATTTTCTATAGAGTTAACTTACCTCTCATTTAGGTATATATAAGGACATTTTTCACAGACTCCGTATATACCTTGCTCCCTACGGTGCTTCCATTGGATCCATTGTAATTTGTTGACAAGAATATATTTGAGAAGAAATAAATTTAATCATTCAGTGTTTTGGACACTTTAGAAAAATGTATTCACTTGTAACGATATTAAATGTTTTCGGCTCTCTTATGCCAAATGTTTTGACTTCAGATGTCATATTTATAATGCTGTGCCTTAGCTCCGAGGCACTACCGTGTCTTCAGATAGACTACATGTAGAGTTTTATCTTTATTTCGCAGGAGAGGTCTGACTTGGTCCTTCCTTTTGTTGCATCACTTGCATTGAAGAAGATTCAAACAGAAGTCGAAATGTCTGCACTTTCTTTGAGTCAAGTAAATATATATTCCGTAATATAAGAAGTCCATTCTCGAGGATACGCAGTCGTCTAGAACACGTCTTAAAATGTTGTCTCAAATTGTAAAAAGAAATATAATCGCTATAATGTGCATTTTACTAACTTGGGGCAAGCATTTGATTGATTGTTCTAGTTTAATCCGCCATTAAATTCAATGGAATACTTTATATTTTTATACCATGATATGTTCTTCCTTATACATAATACTAAAAAATTTTGCATATATATA